CATATACATCAATCTAGTTGGTAGATCTAAAATCCACTAATTGGACAAAGAAAAAATATACAAGATATCACTTTGTGTCTAGAGCTGAAATTTTTGTATATATCATACATGTAAAATACTTATTAGCTATCTACTTTCAAATGTAATTCAATGTACCTATTTTACAATCACAAAATTCCAATTGCTAACAATTGCGTGAAGAGTGCTCAATGCATTGTGATGCGAAGTATCATTCCTACGAAGAAGTTATGTGGGCGAGGGAAAAGAAGAAGAATCATATCAAAGTCCAACGAGGTATTTACTTGATAGAACCCCATCGGAACCTAAATTGCTTAATGGGATCCATCAAGTTTTGTTTTATCTGATGGGATCTCACCGACGACACAACGTCATAAAGTTCTAAAACGAGTTCTTATATTGTGAACTTCTGCAACATGCAAAATTTTCATTTATTGGAAGTGTTGGATCAATTTCTCTTGACTCCGCTGCTGCATTTGCTATCGAGAAAAACATAGCGAGTGTTGTGGCCTAGTACCTAAGAGACACGGCAATGAAGTCTAGCTTTTGCTACTGCAATTGCTCTCAAGAAATAGCGAGTGTTGTGGCCTAGTACCTAAGAGACACGGCAATGAAGTCTAGCTTTTGCTACTGCAATTGCTCTCAAGAAATAGCGAGTGTTGTGGCCTGGTACCTAAGAGACGAGAGATTCGTTTGATGGGATCCCATCAAAACGTAAATTGCTTGATGGAATCCATCAAGTTTCAATTTACCCGATGATACCACAAAACGGTCCACGTCATCGTCAAATCATTTCATTAAGAACGCACTGTTGTTTCAAAGATGAATTTGTCCTTAGCAATTCATGTGCGCTAAAATCTTTATTGTGGTAGTCTCGTGTTGTAGATCTGTTGGAGCAGAAAATTTGATTTTGAAACGCGAGTACAATCCTTAATGTCCTGAAGCTTCGATAAATTCGGTTGGGTTGGAAATTTTTGAGGTCGAAAGCATATTTTGTTTTGTTAAATTCTAATGCCACGCTGGCAAAGCCATTGCAGAAACACAAATTAGAACATATTCTTACTCGACAAATTATTAAAACTCACCGACGGTGTGCCGTCGATGGGCTCCCATCGAGTAAATTGGAACTTGATGGATCCCATCAAGCAATTCTGTTTTGATAAGTTCCCATCAAGCAAATATCTCATGAGAAAAAAGCCTAGGGAATTAGGCAGGTTGAAGCTTAGCGATCTGGGGCATCATAATTCTCTGATCAATCGCATGGATATGGCGAATTCCAAGGTTTTGTCTCAAGATAGTTAGGTACCTCCAATCGGCTCTTATGGGTGTTTCAAATGACTCCAATCTGTCGAACGGCAAGAGTCGTGATTGTTGCACAGGGTTCCACTGCATGCACCGTATGTTATACTAGAACATGCGTGACGAGTATAGCCGATGGGGTCCACAGTTTAAAACGAAACGTAAAAGGTCTAGTAAGCAATTAAGGTTAAGATGGGGTCCATCAAGTAAATAACTCAAGTCCAACAAATCTCTTTCAAAATCAAAAGAGACAGGATGGTATATTACTTACAAACAAGTTTTGCCTACTCTCTAAACGTAGTTCATGTTGACTTGAAAGAAGAGACTTAAGTAAAAGACGTTGTGCAAGCCGATCTACCACGTTGATAACAGGTAATATTGAAACCGCCCGCTTCCGAAGGATAAACTGGTAAATCCAGATACGAATGGAAGGCTGCTATGGCAACGTGTGCCTGCACAAGTCAGCTGATGTGGACAGGTACCTGTGACTAACGGAAGGCTTTCTATCTCGGTCTTGTCAGCAAGAAACGAAATTCCGCGGCGCCAATCATGGTCCACTCATTCCTTTCCACGTCTGCTCTGAAGAATCAGTTTTCTGGAGTGTAAACACACATGAACGGTCGTGAAAGTGGATATACCATTTAAGCAGGAGTCACTAGTACAGGTGTATGCGCGGATGCCTGATGCCACTCACACCTTTTACCGTATTGATGTGACGCATTTCGAATACAGTAGCTAGGGATGTGCCGGTAGCGTGGACTTATTGGGGTGATGGTGAAATTTAATCCTTGTGCTCTCAGCAGATGCATGTTGCGATATGAAAACGTGTATCCGTATCACAGGCAACTACTGCAGCAATTTTGTTAGTTTATGATTCTGGGGATGTAGTCAATTTATCAGATTTAGAAGATTCAGTATTAGATATTTTTCATTTTGTAACTATAGGATCTAGTCTCATCCACCTATTTGGGTTTCATCACTTTGCGACTTGAAGTGATGGAATATTCTCAATATGTTTCCTTTTTCCTTGAGAAGAAGATAATATAAATATTATAATAGATAATACCATGCCCGAAATTAGATTGTCACATGATTTACAAACATATCGTAAGATATATAGCTAATGGTTCTAAGATTTTCTCTTCTTTCTGATTGGGTGTAGAGAAGAATGTATATATCTCTCAATCGACGAAGGAAGGATTTTTATAGGTATTATATTATAATACTGAGATGTCTGCAAGAATGGATACATATTTTTTTACTTTGATAACGGTGTAAGGTGTATGTATGAACAAAAAGTATGCGTGTGCACTCCTAAGAGTGAAGTGATTTCAATCTTTCTAATATATGATGAGGGGTATGGTCAGATTTAATGGTAGGTAGAAAAAGAGCGCAGTACCACCCAATTGAAGTAGAACTTTTTAGTTGTAAGAGATCGAAGAATCTTTTATGCATATAAAAAAGGTTCGTGCAATCCATAGAAGTAGACAGACTAGAACCCCTATCTGATTTCGGTGGATTGCACGGGGATTGTGAAGTCGGTCCAATAAACACAATTTTACTTCATAAAAAGTGATTTCATGGCTAGGCATTGCAACCTAGCTCCGCGAAATTAGGTCAGAAACAGGAAATACGGTACTCTATTCAGGAGAGTGATTGGGATTTAAAAAAATTATTTTTTTGAATGTAGCAGGAGGTTCAGGCACGACATGATAGTTCAACTCCAGGTGGGTGATCATTCTATACTGGCAAGAAGATTAATCAACTTAGGTATGTCTTGGATTACTATATTTTTTAAACTTGGAGACCGTCAAACGTGCCTTGTGCTACCCCCAATACGAACTTCGCACACATATTTCTCGTTTTAAGTCTTGTTGATTGGCGAAAAGAATCATTACTTTTCATCCGACTTTCCGGTATTTATTTTTATTTATATTTTCATATGGTCCTACCGTCTTTTTTTCTTCGCGGACGTGAAGTAAATACGTGTCCTTTTGCATATCTAGTCTAACGCCCTGCAAAGCTTCAAAACCACACACAACGGAAAGACAAATCTACTCTTTGTGGTCGGAGTCCAATTCATCACAAACAACACTCGAAAATTTCTTTCGGTGCACGTTTCATTCGTCCACACCACAATACCACTTTAGCCCAGCCATAATATACCATCTACTCAGCAGCGCGACAAATTTGGAGTGACAAAAATCCAGAACCACTTGTAGCTAACCCCCAAGCAAACACGCAGACGATAACAGCAAGAGGCTGATTATCGGAACCAATTTACCATTTTCCCCAGCGAGCGCTCAAGTGGCAGTGGTCAAGTTTTGCCGAGAAAAGTACAAAGACAAAAACTAATAATCATGGATAAACAATGTGTCGGTTGGAGGATCTGCTAGCGCTGATAGGAGACAAACTAGATTCTTAAAAACAGAGGCGACGTGAAAGGAGTGAAAGGAAGTGAGCTAAAGTGGACAAACAAAAAGGGACACGACAGACTCGAGAGGCCAAGTTGCGGCCATCGTGCTCTCCTGTGCTCCGAACTTCCGAAGTGAGGCGCAGAAAGGCTAAGGCCGATCCCCTTTCAGGCAGGACATAGGTCCAGTCGGACGTATGATTCCAGTTGTGATGTCATCGGGGACTAGCCAAGTCACCCGTTTGGTTTCTCCATGTCATCCATCCACTTCATGGGTCTAGCCATACACTTTGATATTTTACTTTGTATTGATATTTCAGGCTATTGACGCGAAAGTCTCAGAGAAATCACGAGCCACGTAGGCCTGTGGAATGGCCTGGTGACTGGACGTATTGACGCCTTTGTTCTGATTGGTTAGTCTTCCCTCCGTCTTGTTTCCATGTACAAATCGGGAGGATAGTAAGACTAAAGTAAGTCCAGCTGCCCATAATAGCCTCAGTCCGGAGGATTCAGATCAGGACGTTCGCTCTCCGAGCGACACGTGTCGAGGCAAATTGAGAGATTGGTGCCCTGTCTCCATCCATCAATGAAATCAGCTCTCGCAGAGTGCTGATGGGGGAACGAGGGCGAGTTTTAAAACGTGTGGATTTAGTCCGTGATTTGTCTTCTTCTATTTCGGTGATGCTACAGGCCGTTAGGTGCAGGGCCAATGGCCAGACGAAGACATACGACAACAGAATTCCCAAATTTGTCAGAAACGGGCCAAGCGCAGGGCAGGCAGCAACGACCTAGAAAAAAGAAAAGTAACGATCTCGGAAACAAGGACTGTACATCCGAGAGGACGGGGCGACCAGTTTGCTGCAGTGCTGATCGATGGATGGATGAATGGATTGATGGACCGGTGGCAGTACAGATTGAAAGCGAAAGCGAAGAGGGGAGAACGAGGAGAAGAATCCGTTCACCTCGCACGACGCGCTGAAGTACGAGCAAAAATACGATGCACAATGCGCAGGACTAGATTCCAGTACCGGGCGAACAAGGCCCAGAACAACTGACCCCGCAATCCGCTTCCAAATTTGCCTCGCCTCGCCTCGCCAAGTAAAAAGAGCAAAAAGCAGAAACGATCCACCGTCACCTCTCCCATACTCGCCCCATTTGCGCTAACGATGCCTTCCTACGTCGCGTCGTGGGAAAATCGCCTAATATAATAGGTTAATGTTATCCGTAATTACTTATATTAGACCTCTGCCTCAAGCGACTCTTGAGTCGGGTCCGTTATATTGGACCCCCGCCAGCATATGAGCGTAAGATAACGAATACGTCAAACACAGACAGAGAGAGAGAGAGAGAGAGAGAGAGAGAGAGAAGGCTCAAGGAAGGAAGAGAAGAGAGCAAAGCGAAAGTAGTCGGAAGCCAGGGAGAGAGGGATCGCCACTACGAAGGACAGAGCAAGCCAAGAATCCAGCGAGCCAGCGTTTGGCACACGCAGCTACGAAAGCTACAGAGAGGAGGAGGAGGAGAAGGGACAGGAAGTAAGGAGGATCAGGAGTGCGTGCGGAGAGAGGAGAGGAGAGGAGAGGAGAAGCTGCGAAGGAGGAGGGGGGCTCACAGGACATCAAATATAGACAGAGCGTCACCTCTCTCTCGAGACTTCGAAGGAAAGAAAGGAAAGGGAGAAGACAGGAAGGGAGAAAGAGAGAAGGGAAGGAAGCGGGAGCAAGTGACTTGCATCGCTGATTGATTCCTCGCACCTGCCACCACAGCGCGGCAGGCCCAGAGTGCAGCACTGCCTTGACTTTCAGAATTTGGATTTTGCTGCAGGGAGCAGCAGGGGAGGGCTTCGGTCGTTGTCATCGTCATCGGTTGGGCGGACACTGTCAAGCCTCTCCTCTGCCTGTTTACTAACGTATCTATCTATCTGTCTATCTATCAATCAATCTATCTATTCATCAGTTGACCGTCTACATATCTATCTATCCATCCACCTCCACGATCCTGCGTCGCCTTCGTCCATCGCCATCGAGGTCCAGATCGTCAGATTGTACGGCGAACCGAGTGACGACGACGAGGGGCTCCTTCTGCGGTGGGTGGGTTGGGTTCGGGGCTATTTCTCTTGATTGCTTTAGCGTGGGGTTTTGGTTTCGAGCTCCGCCGTGGGCCTTGTCATCGTGCTGAATGGATTGTGCGTTGGGATGATTTGGAGTGCTCTAGATTAGTAAAACTGGAGATCACGATTCGATGCTCGAGGCCAGCGTGCATGCGCATGCTCAGGCGCTGCCCGTCGGCGGGCGCGAGTTGACTCGTTCGTCGGGGTCGGAATGCGGGATAAAAGCTCTGCGTCCTCGGGGGTCGAAGTGATCGATTTGAGATCTGGAAGTCTGTCGTCTCTGTTTCGATTTCGAAGAGTTGTTGCCCTTTGGCGAATCCCCCCGTGCCCGCGTGCTGCATTTCGTCTCTGAGTCGGAGGTTCGGTCTGCTTGTGTCTCTGTCTGTGCGTCTGAGTGTGCGTTGCGTCGTAGGAGATTTTGTGATCGGCGGTGCTCGAGAACTTGGCATCGTAGCTCACCGCCAGTGGCTGATGCCATCACTCGGAACAGGTCCGCGAGGAGGAGGGGCGCGAGGTCTGGGACGAGAGGACGTCGGCAGGAACGGCGGCTGCGCGGACGTAGATGCGGAGCAAGGCGCCGGGGCGGAGTGGGAGCGCGGAGCTGTTGATGGAAACGGAAGCCAGCGGCAGCGCCGACCCGAGAGCCCTGTGATGCCGACCTGCCTGCAGAAGCAATTGTGCGGGGCGCTGGGCAGCGGCGGGGCGGGACCGCCCGTCGGGGGAGCTCTGGGGCTGGGCGTCGACGAGAGTCCCCGCTCCATGTGCATGAACGATGAGTCGTCCTTCCTCTCGTGCACCACTCTCAACATCCTCGCGCCCATCTACAAGCGCCTGAACCAAGAGGGCTCGTCGCTCGAAAGTCATTGTCGCGAATCATGGCTCATTAGAAACGAGCGAATCCTGGAATTGCTCGTCCGCGAGAAGTCCTCCATAATCTGCCTGCAGGAATTTTGGCTCGGAAACGAGGAGCTGGTCAGACTTTACGAGGACGGCTTGAGCGCCGCGGGCTATGGCATGTTCAAATTGGCCCGCACCAACAACCGCGGCGATGGGCTCTTCACCGCCTACCGGACGGACGGGCTCGAGGTTATGGACTACTCGGAAATTCTCTTCTACGACTGCGGAGATAGGGTTGCGCAATTCCTGCACATGAAGAGTGACCATCGGAGCAGTTTGCAAGAGCTGCTCGTCGTGAATACGCACCTGCTGTTCCCGCACAATTCCAATTTTTGCCTCATTCGATTACGACAGGTTTACAAGATCTTAGACTACTTGGAGAAGTACATCGAGAAACTGCAGCTGTCTCCCATGCCCATCATTCTGTGCGGAGATTGGAATGGCAGCAAAAGGGGCCAAGTGTACAAGTTTCTCCGGGCGCGTGGATTCGTTTCGTCGTACGACATGGCGCACCAGTACACGGACAGCGATGCGGATTCGCATCGCTGGGTGAGCCATAGAAATCACCGGGGCAACATTTGCGGCGTGGACTTCATCTGGCTCCTGAACCCGAGCAAGCACCAGCGACCTCTATCGGAGTGCTGGAAGGAGGCCGTTTTCATGATCATGAAGGCGAAACTGCTGGAAATGGGTATCAAGGACGAGAAAGATACCATCGAATTCTTCGAATGTGAAGACGCCACGGAGGACGATCTCGTGCCTTTCGAGAAATTCCAGCACGCTCTGAACAGGCTTGGGCTCATGGACGAAGATTCCGAAGGGCTCACGACTCCGGAGATCGAAGACCTGCTGCAGAGCACCGCCCCCGAGAACACGGGGTTCATGACGTACGGTGAGTTGAAGACTCTGCTCAACCTGCACCAGGCAGAGCCAATGTCGAGCTGTTTGCTCAAAGATAAGTTGGATGACTCCACATATCTCTGCAAGGACACGATTCCTGCTTCTCCCATCCCCGCCAAGGCCAACAGCAACAATGGCTTGTCTTCGGGCGATTGTCTGTACTCACGCAAGGTCGTCCCTGTGGAAGGAATGACGACGATGAAGATTGCTGACGACATTGTCGAGAAACACCCGTGTTCCGACTTTGATGTCAAGGACGCCCATTTGTTCCCTCCCGAGGTCGAGCAGGGCTTCTGGCCCGACAGCTACTCACTATCCGATCATGCCTTTCTGACTGCCGTTTTTTCGATTAGTCCTACAGTTCTCACAGCATGAATGTCAAGCTAAATATGTAGAAAAGTCCAGCGCCATGTTCAGAGTGCTGGGCTTCGAGTAGAACACCTTGATACACTTAAACGGATGACAATTTACTCATCTATTGTATACTGATCGTCCCATGGCCCATTGGGGTTCCAGTGGACTTAAAAGGTCTCATTCATTCATTCATTTGATCACCGCGTGTATTGTGACTAGTTTCATTGACGAATCACTGAACCAGCTTTTTATATTCTATGTTGATAACTCTGCCGCATCAAGAGTTCTACTCTCAGATCCTGCTCTTCCAGTTCCGGTTTTAGTCTGCCGGTCGGTTCGATCATCAGGGGTCGTTTCAACCTCCAGTATTGTCAGCAATTTGCCGGATTGTGTGTACCTGGATAAGGATCGTTTGGGAATCTATGGAGTAATTGATTATTATTTGCAGATTTGGTATGTAGGCTTGGGCTAGTTTGAAAGACGAGTGCAACATTAGACGGGTCTGAGATTCCGGACATGTGCGGGCCGAAGAGTGCATAGTCTGTAGGTTATGAGTTTATGAGTTTGATTCGCAGCCATTTTCCAGCTTGAACGAAAGACTGAGACTGTATCTGAATAAGTTCAGGCGCTTTAAATGTAATATGCGTGTTTTATCAACTTTGTTTCGACGAAGCTGTGTCATGTGGTTTCGAAACCTCCAGTCTGGTCCATCCGGGGTCTGTGAACTGGTCGGAGTCATAGCCATCGACGTCTACCTTGCCAACCGGACAGAGCAGACAAGCTGTTGACTAATTGAACTCAAATGTCACAGTTTCCAGCTCTTGGAAATTCGGCTCACGTGATATCCCATGCAGACTGCGGAGTTTGACTTTCTCATCTGATGGTGTGCCACGCGTGGGTATGTCGTTTTCTCTAAGTCTTTGTCGTACACCAAGTGAGCACATCGGGCGAAAGTACTCGTTTTATGCCCGAGAGACGGCCAGGATAAAAGTTGATGTCCAGTGTCTTTCGTTGCGAGGGTTGAACAGAGTGCAAATGTCAACGTGTGTGCCCACATAGTCGTGCTCTAGTGGACAGGTACGCGTAGCAGGTGGGATGTGATGAATGTTGCAACAGCAGCAACAGACGAGAGCGATTTAGGTACCGAGTCTTACAGTCCACAACGCTGAGAAAAGTAGCTGGCAGCGGAAATTACGAGCATTTGGTTGATCGACCAAACTGCCTCCACTCCCAACGATGTTTAAGTTCCGTTTGAAGACCTAGTAATACAGCCAAAGGATGGGAAAACACCATCAAGTCTCACAGGGATGAAACCAAGGGGTACGATGGGCTAGTAGTCCCCGATAGAATCACAATGACGAACTCGTTTTACTGTTCCATTGCGCTCCATTTTCAACAACCACGTTCGAATCTGCATTCAAATGCGGATCGATCTTCGCAAAGCCTTCTATATCACTTTTCCGTGTTTCGTGCATGTTTACGTATGCGTCGAATTTACAGTTTCTGATGTTTCAACCTCCAGCTGCGAAACTCCAATCCTTCCGGATAAGTTCAGCCTTTGGTATGGATTATTCGAATTGTTGAGTTCATAAGCGGCAGCGTTGTTGACCTCACCAGGTCAATGATCCCTGTCGGAGGACAAAGAAAATGTCCAGTGAGAAGGGAGTGATCGAATGGTTGTTTCCGAATGTAGAATATGGAGTGACAATGTTACCAAGAGACTCAACCTGTTCTTCCACCGAAGGAGCTGCAAAAGCCCATGAAACGATTCCGAAGCTACGCCTTACCAAGATTCGTACGACTTTAATAGTTCAACAAATCTCTGGAGGTCATTTCACTCCTCTGAATTAAGCTAGAACAATGATTCAACAGCATCGTGAGTGGCGATGGAGGACGAGAACCAGCTCTTGAATAGAAGACTGTCCTTTCATACCCATGTAAGTTTCACCTAAAGGTAAAATATCGGATTTCATCGAGGTGTATTATCTATCGGTCGCATCAGATTAAAATAGCTGTCTTGCGGTGTCCACCTGATTCGATTTCTTACAAACCCAGTCAGAATCGTCTGTTAGTCTTCCCTTTCTCAGTTTCCAACAGACTCTACAGGACCGTAAGCCTGAACCTGAACCTTCTTCTGGATTCATCATTGGTCGGTCAAGAAGCTGTGCCCTGCGCCGTCTGGTTCTCTACGGTGCAGGCCAAAGTACTATGACTGCTAGAAGAAAGATGCAAAACATAACTTAAGTTCATTACTCAATCGCTTGGCGATCTGCTCTCTTTTGACTTAGAGCTTCTGAAAGAGCTTTCAATGTATGACGACTCAAGAAACTCATTCAGTGGTTACTGAGGAAACCCGAGACGTCCACAAACAATGATGAGACAGACATTATCCTCTGAAATACAATATATTGGACAACCTAAGAACATTGCGCAACACAAGTATGAGAGAGCACTCACTATAGTTTACTCTATAAACTGCTATGTTCAAGCTTGATCTTATTCTGCAGAAAGGAATATTTGGTTCCATAGTTGGCTAGAATCATTCATTTTTCTTATCATTATAATAAGGGATAAAAAGTATGATAACAGGAGAGAATGAGCCTTGAAGAATTGAATATGCGTCGGAGTCCGTATATTGCCAGACAGTTAAGTTGTTTCGGTACACAGCTGGATTAGTAATGAGAATTAAGGTCGAGACACCGCGAAAGGTACTGTTAGTATTGAGTTGTAACGCGCGTACCTCTCCAAAAAGAGATCGGCGTCTAATGGATCTAGTAGCATTTATGAAGAAGCAATCGTCAATGAGCTATGGGGGCTTGAGAAGCTATTCGGCCTGTAGGAACGGATAAGGCTTTTGCGCGAAAGCCATATCTGATGGTAGGGGAATTCAGAAGAAAAAATCAACATGGGTGAGTAATCTCTAGCAGGTGACGACCTTACTTTGTCAAATCATATGGTTTGAGAAAGAACAAGATTTTGATTGGAAGGGACTAGCAACGATTACAAGGTTCAATTTTTAATGAATCCAAGTTGTTCAACTTGAGACAAATTAAAAGTATGAAAAGTGGAAGATGAAATTAATTGAAAAAAATGCTGGAAAACAATTGTAAGAATTGAACTAACGATTTTCATTGTTAGTACTACATATGATATGTACCACATATGATGTTTTATGGTAGATTTGATGAAGAAGAAGTAGGAGAAGTCTTCCCTTGAATTGGATCATAAGCTCCCTGCATGAGAGAAAGGAGAGGCATATGTCTCTTCAATCTTAATGCATATGTTTCAAGTATGTGTTGCTTACACCTTCGTAGAGAAAGAAACAAAAGGTCGAAGCTCCGAGATAATGGAGGGATTCTATAATGAAGATGCGAGAAGTGTTTCAGAATATAGCACAGGTTCCGAAACAAAAGATCACTTTTCATGATCTAGAGAAGTGAGAGTTGGTGAAATGACGTTGAACGATTTAAACAAGCTAATGTGAGCTATTAGAAGATTCTTAATGCAGAATGCAAATAATAGTTCAAGATAAGAATTCAGACAGAACACTCATGCAAGGCATGTTGGTTCTCAGCTCTGTTTTCAGACATGCTCATACATACAATACGCAACAAGAATCACATACCGATGTACGCGGTTCACCTCCGAACCTCCTAAGAACTCAAGATTTTCTCAAATGCATATGTAGTACATTGCGCTACTGAAAGTAAAAAAGAGCAGCCTATAAAATACTTACATATTTAGCTTTTGCCATGTTGAACTTGACAAACATATTCTTTGTAACCTTTTGTTGAGATAACAAAAAGTTCCTTTCCTTTTGATTCCAAAATATTTCCATGCCAAAAATCTTCTTGACTAGACTTAGATCTTGCATGCTGAAAGTTGACCTCAATTGAGACTTAAACTTATCAACATAGTATCTTATGAGAGTTGCAATAAACGTGTCATTAATATATAAGACAAAAATGATAAGTTCAAATGTTACATCAAAAATCTTCTTCAAATAAACACAAGGATCATATACTTTTAGTAAAAATCATTATGAGTGCATGAAGTCTTTGAAGCGTTTATTTAAACCGAATTACATATAAGCAACCTACTTACCATGCCTTCCTTTACTTTCATGAAAAATTATTGTGATTGCCGCATAACTATCATCTCATCTAATAGTACATAGGAAAAAGTTGTGATAATATTTATTTGATCATACACTTGATCATATAGAATCACAAAATCACATAACAAACGTATTTTGTTATGATGCAAAAACTTCATTGTAATCCACAACTTTGCTTGGCTATCAACCTAGCTTTGAAAATTTTCTCATCCTTGATCCATAGTTCTTCATGTAGATCCACATACCACTCTCTTATCTTGGAGCAATTCAACAAGTTCTCAGGAGTTGTTGGCATGAAATGATTTCATTGATGCATTTCACTCTTGCTTCTCATTACAAGCTAGAGCTTAAGGGAAAGAAGATGGATCTCCATCTTCAATGATCAAAACGTCATGTGAATCCTCAACATCGGCTTCCATATCATCAATGATTGTATAGTTGAAGCAAATGTCATACCTAGTCGGAGCTTGACGTTTAGCTGCACTCCGCAACTGCCACCTTGATGAAGATTCCGCTTGATCAATTTGTGTTGGTACTAAATGTGGCTCACCAACAATGAGATCTTCTTGTTCCACAACAAGTGTAACCTCTCCTTGTGTTCCATCATCAGTGGTGTTAATATCAATCTTTCTCTCAACAGTATCAACAACAAGAATCTTGCGCTTATCAATAATTGGAGTTTGCACTTTCTCTCCCCCATTCAATGATCTAGGTTCATTGAATGAAACATCCCTATTGAAGATGAGGTTTCAAGCATTGACATCCCACAACCTATATCACTTTACTATTCTTTGGTAATGAAGAAAGAAACATTTCTTGGTTTTATTATCCTTTGGAGTAAGAGCATAAGCATCACAATAAAAAACTCTCAACATAAATAGTCACCTAACCATTATACGACATTTCAAACTGAGTTTTAAACTTGATAGAGCTTCTCCGAATAAAAGTTATCTCCATCACAATATCTTCTACGGCAGGTCTATAGATTTCGTACAAAGAGTCTTTAAGCTGTCACACAACCATTTGTTCTTCAGCAGTTAGAAACGGATTTTGGAGTCAGAGCGGATATACGGAGGAATTGCAAGCAGATATAATCGACAGGCCATGGGACCAAGAAATTTAACAGGGCAGTAGGAGAAACTAGAAAGGGTGGGTGATGAAGATCATCATGATACTTTGAAATATCCATTAGACATGAAAAGAGCAAATGACTTCCATCATCTGAAAACTGAAACGCTATTAGAGCGTTAACACCACACTCCTCATGAATGGCAATCTTACGTTCTTCTTGAACATGCACCGAGCGAATTGCATACCCGTTTCTTATCGTTATGGAACGGGTGATATGTGATTCTGTCCCTGTAAAGAGTCAAAAAGATGAAAATACCTGCACGTTATTATTCAACTTTATCCAAGGTTACATGGTAGGTGACCAATAGAGAAGCACTATCTGCAA